GTTTTCTCATTGCATTTACTACAAACCTCTTTTATAGCATATTTGCTATCGTATAACAGTTATCATTACTCCACCACCTCAACTAACTGCAAAACTCCATCCTATTTAACTCTGTATTTTTTGTACCTTACACAGTAGAGTGCATTTTCATGTTTTCAAATATTAGTAAAGTGAATTCCTATGAGCCACAGCAAAGAGAATATACTACTTTGATCACTAAACTTTCTAAGATGTGCACTTAGATGTGAAAATATTTTACATTAATCAAAGCAGGGTTTTGACCCATTTTACATGTTGCACCAATATGCTGGGGAAAATTTGTGATTTAAATTCTACAATGACTGATATAATCTTTAAAAGAAAAAATATATATACCATGAAAAAAATCTTTCCTATGCAACTTTAGTGTCCTTAGCCTAGGCTCCTGAAGGGGAAGGATTATATCTTAAACGCCCTTTTCTCTCTAACCCTGGGCATGGCAACGGGCACAAAGTGAATGTTATTGAACTAAAATGCAAAAATGTTCCCTTCCTATTGTGAGTAAATTGTCTCATTGTTATTTGTACCATATTTATAGAGCAATATAAAAACAGCTACAATTTTGTGTGTGTGAATTTTTAAACACCTTTATTGTGGTATAATTCCTACACAGTAAGCTACACCTATTTCAGATGTACAATCTGATGAATTTCCGTAGATGTATACACCCATGAAACCACCATCAGTCATTTCAAAAGATGCAGAAAAAGCACTTGATAAAATTCAACACCCATTTATGATAAAAACTCACCAAAGTGGATATAGAGGGAACATATCTCAACATGATAAAAGCTATTTATGACAAACCCACAGCCAGCATAATATTCAATGGTGAAAAGCTAAAAGCCTTCCCACTAAAATCTGGAACAAGGATGCCCACTCTCACCACTTCTATTCAGTATGGTATTGAAAGTCCTAGCCATAGCAATTAGACAACAAAAAGAAATAAAAGGGATCCAAATTGGACGAGAGGAAGTAAAATTGTCGTTATATGCAGATGACATAATACTATATACAGAAAACTAAAGACTCCACACAAAAACTACTAGAGCTGATAAAAGAATTTGGCAAGGACACAAGATTAACATACAGAAATCAGTGACATTTCTCTACATTAACAATGAAATATCAGAAAAGGAAAGGAAAGAAACAATCCCTTTTAAAATTTCATCCAAGACAATAAAATACTTAGGAGTACATCTGACCAAGGAAATGAAAGACTTATATGCAGAGAACTACGAAACACACACTAAGAAAATTAAAGGTGACTTAAACAAATGGAAAGATATCCCATGTTCTTGAGTTACAAGAATATTGTTAAAATGGCCATACTACCCAAGACAATCTACAGATTTAGTGCCATCCCTATCAAGTTACCCACAACATTTCTCACAGAACTAGAATAAAATAATACTAACATTTATATGGAATCACCAAAGACAGAATTGCCAAAGCAATACTGAAGTAAAAGAATGAAGCTGGAAGAATAAACCTCCCAGACTTCAGACAACACGACAGAGCTACACGAATCAAAACAGCATGATATTGATACCAAAACAGATACTTGGATCAATGGAACAGAATAGTGAGTCCAGAAATAATCTCACAAAGCTTTGGTCAATTAATCTTTGACACAGGGAGGCAAGAACATACAATGGAGTAAAGACAGTCTCTTCAGTAAACAGTGTTTGGAAACCTGGACAGCTGCATGTAAATCAATGAAGTTAGAACATTTCCTCACACCATACACAAAAATAAACTCAAAATGGCTTAAAGACTTAAAAATAAGACAAGACACTCTAAATCTCTTAGAAGAAAACATAGGCAAAACATTATCTGACATACATCTCAGCAGTGTTCTCCTACGGCAGTCTACCCAAACAACAGAAATAAAAGCAAGAATAAACAAATGGGACCTAATTAAACTCATAAGCTTTTGCACAGCAAAGGAAACCATAAGCAAAACAAAAAGACAACCTACAGAAAGGGAGAAAATATTTGCAAAAGATGAGACTGACAGGACCTAATTTCTAGAATATATAAACAGCTCATACAACTTAATACAAAAGAAAAAATTCCAAAAATGGGCAGAAGATCTAAACAAGCAATTCTTCAATGAAGACATTCAAATGGCCAACAGGCATATTTTTAAAAAGCTCAGTATTGCTAATTATCAGAGAAATGCAAATCAAAACTACAGTGAAGTATCAACTCACACCAGTCAGAATGGCCATCATTCAAAAGTTCACAATTGATAAATGCTGGAGAGGCTGTGGAGAAAAGGGAACCCTCCTACACTGCTGGTGGGAATGCAGTTTGGTGCAGCCACTGTGGAAAAACAGTATGGAGATTCCTCAAAAGACTAAAAATAGATGTATCATATGATCCAGCAATCCCACTCCTGGGGATATATCCAGAGGAAACCTTAATTCAAAAAGAAACATGCAACCCAATGTTCACAGTAGCACTATTTACAATAACCAAGACATGGAAATAACCTAAATGTCCATTGATAGATGATTGGATAAAGAAGCTGTGGCATATTTATACAATGGAATACTACTTAGCCTTAAAAAATGATAAAATAATGCCATTTGCAGCAACATGGATGGACCTGGAGAATGTTATTCTAAGTGAAGTAAGCCAGAAAGAGAAAGAAAAATACTATATGATATTACTTATATGTGAAATCTAAAAAAAGAAACAAAGAAAATAAAGTTATTTACAAAACAGAAACATACTCACAGACAAAACAAACTTCTGGTTATCAGGTGGGGAAAGGAGTGGGAAGGGATAAATTGGGAGTTTGAGATTTGTGGATACTAACTAATATATATAAAATAGATACACAAGTTTATAGCACAGGGAACTATATTCAATATCTTGTAGTAATTTATGGTGAAAAGAATATGAAAACAAATATACATATTTTCATGTATGACTGAAGCATTATGCTGTACACTAGAAACTGACATAACATT